ATACAAAACAAGTATCAAGACAGACTACTCCATTTATAGTTAATGGTTGGGTTTAAACACCAATAAACAGATTATCAGACTAGCTTCAAACCAAAGACCCAACTATATGCTGTTTACAAGAAATGAACTTTCAATATATAGACAACTAGGTTGAAAGCAAAAGGCTAGAAAAGGTTATACAGATGGAGCAGGCACAGTGGACTTTAGGATATGGAGTATTACTAGAGACAATGAGATATTTCATCAAGGGTCAACTCATCAAGAAATTATAATCATAAATTTTATATACCTATGAAATAAAAATGTAGGAAGTAAACTCAGAACAGTTACATAGCACCATGGAGATCAGAAAGATGAATAAGGCCAGGCGTGGTGGCTCACGCCTGTAATCCTGTGGGTTGGCCAAGGTGAGTTGTGACACCCTATCTCTAAAAACTAGCCAGGCCTTGTGGTAGGTGCCTGTAGTCCCAAGCTATATGGGAAGCTAAGGGAAGAGGATTACTTGAGCCCAAGAGTTTGAGATTGCTGTGAGCAATGACACCATGGCACTCTACTGAGTGAGACTTTTTTAAGACAAAGGTGAATAAGACAGTAATTAGCCCCAATTTCTATCTTATAAAAATCAGGATTTTGGGGTCCCTTTGATGTTAATATCCTACTCTGAAAATCTTTAAATACTTGTTTATTTATATCAGCTGATGAAATCCTTACCAGCCATCTCCACCCAGAAAAGTAATCTTTTTGAAAAAGATCTTTTTAGCATGGCTATTTCCAAACACACATAAAAGGTAGAAATATGAGTATAGTGAGCCTCCATATACCACTGTCCTACCCTCAATAGCTCCTAGCATTTTGCCTCTCCACTGGCCCAATTATGTTTTGCTATAGTATTTTTAAGGAAAATATCTACACCTATAGATACTTCAGTGTGCAGTTATAACTGTTGAGGACATTTGGAAAAGCATAACCATTATACCATTATCACATTTTAAATTAATGATTGTTCTACATTAGTGAGTACCCAGTTCAGTTGCATCACAGATATTTGTTTATAACTGGTCTGTTCAAATCCTGATTCAGATAAGACTCATTTATTGCATGGGTTGTTGTAGTGCCTGAGTCTCCTTTATGCTAGGATAATCTTTTTTGTTTTAATCCATTGATGATTTATGACAAACTAGATCATTTATGCTGCAAAAGGGCTTTTTTTTTTTTTTTTTTTGTAGAGACAGAATCTCACTTTGTGGCCCTTGATAGAGTGCCATGGGGTTACACAGCTCATAGCAACCTCCAACTCCTGGGCTTAAACGATTCTCTTGCCTCAGCCTCCTAAGTAGCTGGGACTACAGGCGTCCACCACAACACCTGGCTATTTTTTGGTTGCAGTCCGGCTAGGGCCAGGTTAGAACCCGCCATCCTTGGTATATGGGGCCGGCGCCCTACTCACTAAGCCACAGGCACTGCCCTAAAAGGGCTTTTTTTGACTTAAAGACCTGTTCTAGAAATGATTATGACCACCACGTCAATAAAGAACAGGGTAGAAGTTTAGGAGTAAATCATCTAATACCTGCTTTGTCCCAAAACACTCCAAAGGGATTCCATCTCATTTCCTAGTGAATATGCTAAAGCTAGTTAGGCTAATTTGATCCACGTTAGAATTCCATGAGCCCGCCTGGAGTTATCTGGAACAAACTATTTCCAATCAATTTAAAGTGAAATTCAATCCACATTTCAAAAGCACTAACAAGATGTGGAGTTTTCTATCAACCTCAAACTACACCCAAATCCACAAAAATAACTGCAGTGGAGAAGGGACTTCAGAAGCCCCCTAGGTTTGTAAGAGGTGAACTGTGCCAAGTCAGAAGTAGTGATCTAATTTTCTTCCAACCTCGAGGCCCGCTGGGGACATGGGAGTTGTCAAGGAACGCAGGTGTGCACACCCAGAGCCGCAGCATGTTCAGACACAGCCACGTAAACAGCATAGCTTAATAAAGCTTAATACAGACATACTCAGTGTTTAGAGGAGGTGGTTATGACATCTGTGGCCCAAGGCAGAGCAGCTTAGCCAGCCAGGCCCCCAGGAAACCATTTTCAACTTATGTCCACACCAAACCCAAAATTTCTTAAGAAAGCTTGGAAAGCCAAAATCTTAGGAAGAAAAACCTCCCAAGCCCTAGGCCTATGAGAAAAGAACACAATAAAAAAAAAACAAGAGAGAGGGCGGTGCCTGTGGCTCAAAGGAATAGGGGGCCACCCCTATATGCCAGAGGTGGTGGGGTCAAACCCAGCCCTGGCCAAAAACCACAAAAAAAAGGAGAGAAAGCACAAAACGATCCTTTTTATCAGTAGTCTTCGGTTACATTTCCCTCCAGCTCCTTTATTAAGAATTAGAATACTTGACCTCGTCAGTGAGTTGAAGCATGAACCTAGACTAGATTATTAGCCCTCCACCTTCTTGCCCATTGACAAGGCCACACTAGCTACAAAGTTGTCTCTTCAATGCAAGAGGTTCAATACTCTCTGTAACCTGCTTCCTCCTAGACATGTACATTTAACACCGACAGCTGAGTCTCACCTTCCACCCAAGACAACTAATCTGCCAGCCTGCAGGAAGCGATTGTGCACACAGCAGCCCCTGGTGGTGTGGAGTGTGAGGTAACTGGGTCTTCTGTTCTCTGACCACCATTCTGTCCCTAAAGCAGCAATTGTGAAGTGTCCCACTCTGATGTGGCAAGGGGCTCTCATTCCATTGAAGACACTCAGTGAGGGGCAGACAGGTCTCTAGCCTTGCATTATTAAAGGCATTCCTCTGATGCCTGCCCAAGGGAGAGAAGAGCAGCTGCTAGGGATCCAATATTTGACTCCCCCCAGACTCATGTGGACGGTCAAGCTCTAACTGTGGGTGGAGCCTAATGGGAGGCATCTGAGTTGTGCGGAAAGGCCCCCCCATAAATACGTTAATATCCTCTCTGGATTAAGGAAGTGAGCAAGTTCTGTGCTCTGTTCATTCTCAGAGAGCTTGTTCAAAAGAGCCTGGCACCTCCCTCCTCTCTCACTGCCGCATCTCTGCACCTGTAAGACCCCCCTTCCTCCACGAGTGGAAACAGCTCGAGGCCCTCACCAGACGCTGGCAACTGCTTCTTGTATGTCCTGCAAAACTATGGGTCAAATCTTTCTTTTTGTGCAGCCATCGATTTCTGAATACTAATAGCTAGTTTGAAACTGCATGTTGGGCTCGGCGCCTATAGCTCAACTGGCTAAGGCGCCAGCCATGTACACCTAAGGTGGTGGGTTCGAATCCCCAGCCCAGAC